CATGTCATGCAGCACGTCATCCAGATGCCTCTTGAACACTGCCAGGGACGGCGACTCCACCACCTCCCTGGGCAGCCATTCCAGTGCCTGACCACTCTGAGAGAAAAAGTTCTTCTTTATGTCTAACCTAAACCTCCTCTGATACAACTTGTGGCCATTTCCCCGGGTCCTGTTTGTTGCGTAGGAGAAGAGGCCAAACCCCTCCTCATCACAACCTTCCTTCAGGAAGTTGCAGAGTGCAGTGAGGTCTCCCCTGAGCCTCCTCTTCTCCACACTGAACAATCCCAGCTCCTTCGGCCGCTCCTCATAAGAGTTCAGCTTCATTGCCCTTCTCTGGACACGTTCCAGGGCCTCAATATCTTTCCTGTAGTGAGGGGCCCAAAACTGAACACAGTACTTGAGGTGCAGCCTCACCAGTGCTGAGTAGAGGGGGATGATCACCTCCCTGCTCCTGCTGGCCACACTATTTCTAATGCAGGCCAGGATGCCGTTGGCCTTCTTGACCACCTGGACATATTGTTGGCTCATGTTCAGCCAAGCATCAACCAACACCCCCAGGTTCCTTTCCTCTTCATAGTCATAAAGCAGTTCCAACCTCAAAGTTCAGCACATGCCACTTTCTAATAACCAGTAATCACTGCTAAATCATCTTATATTTTCTGAACATGCATAAATGCCAAGCAGGTACCATGTTGCCCACATGCAGATGACCTTGTTATAACAATGAAGATTGTTTTTATTTCATCAAAACACTATCTGAAATATGAACATACTAGAAGCAAGTAAAACAGAAAACAATCATGCAAGTTTGGAGAAACAAAAACACAGCCACCTAGGGTTCACATGAATCTCCAGAATTAATATATTTTGCATCTGTTGAACAAAGTACCCAATTTCACATTTGGCATCATAAATATCAAATATGCTGACTTAAATGTATTTTAGAATGAACACATAGCCTTATTAAGTCGACCGACTTAATTTAATGCTTCCTTAATAGTTTACATGACATTGTGACACTGTGACGCTGAACTCAAGAAATCATTTTCACAGAATTTAATTCCACAAGGATGAAGGAAAGCTCTGGTAACTATTTTCTTAGCACTGTTCGGATTGAATTCCAGTTTTCCACTCCTTCTTCAGTAATTCTAATGAGGAAGAGTATGTCTCTCTGTTATTCAGAGAGGCATTTGAAAAGTGATACCACGATACTGACCATCTTTCTTACAGATATTAGATACAGGAAAGTCATGAAGCTCACATACTATAAATACACATAATAGTTTCTGTGCATAATGCAAAATATTTTCACTTATTTTAAAGAGTAGAACTATTTTTTTCAAATACAGGGATGAAAGACATGCAAAGGACCAAATATTCTATGCATACAATGCACTCCCATAAAATCAGTTTCTCTCAACTATTTATGTAAGCAAAATGTATACACCTTCAGCTAGCAGAGTTGGAATTCCAACATCTAAGATCGACTGCAACAATACAATCTTTACCGAGGCAGCTTTGTCTATGTGACCTGAAAAACAGATTGAGAAACTGACACATCCACTTGCCTCTTTACTCACTAAAGGTCATCAGATGGTGCAAAACGATCCAAGACTGAACTAAAGTAACATATTTTGAGCAAACCTTTATTATTTAAACCCACATCAGTTATTAGAGATACAACTTACCAGAATACTGTCCTTCACAAGGCAGATAAACTAGCCTAATTCCCACTGCACACACAAATTCTGAACTCACACTAAAACAGTGCAATTGTATTTGCCTTTAATTTAGGTTATCACTGTTTTTGCACATTTTAGAAGTGTGTAATCTTTTTAATTGAAATTAATTAATTAATCAAAGCCCAAAGGTGAGTCATTTCTCATTGATTTCCTCATGAAACTTTGCCATTCCTACCCAACACTTTACAAATATACACCAAACTTTAGTAATTAATCAGAAATCAAGTACAGTTTCTATTAGAAGCTCATAGCCTATCCAGCCATTACTAAATCAACTCATATTTTTCTCAGTTATTATTATTACATTTAAATCAGAGACAGCTTACAAATTACCTTACAAATATTACAAAAATCTGACATATTATTTGTAGTAAAACTGAGTACTTATTTCAATGGATCTGAAATATATTGATTCTGGAGAGGCACATGAATGCTAACTACTCATGGAAATTATAGTAATTTACTGTCACTCTCTGATACTTACAAGTTACTGCATTATAAACTTTCCCAGATACTACAGAATTTAAAGCATGCTGCTCTAAACTGAAATCAGTATATCTGTTTTAATGTATTTGCTGTTCATTTCAAAGCCAAATTTTGACCATGGACTTTTAAACTGCTAGGAATTGCTGGGTAAGGGATATTTTGAAGAAAAGTCAGTTTGTGATCAAAACAGACCATTCAGTGGTACCTCCATCACTAGTTACTATTAAAATATACAATCAAAGTACACATATTTTCACCAAAAATCAGAACGACTTCTTTATCACCCAATTTATGTGTCATAGCTCAAGAAAATTTGCACAGCCTGGAAAACTTCAAAGTTCTTGAGACTGCTTGTAATGATGAAAGTGTAAAATTCATTGCTATGCAAATTATTTACTGGGATATTTCTGTACTTTTAAATGAAAACAAGCATTTTCTTACTACATGGTTTTCCAGTTCCTCTTTTTAAAAATTAGTGGGGGTAATACTAAGTATAGAGAGGAACCACATAGTTATCTCTAATTTCTTTAGCTTCCAGAAATAAAAGAGGTCACCACTTCTAAAGCAACACAGATTACACACATTCAAGACAGTTGTTCTGATATATTCATAGATTTCAGATATTCAAAGATCTCAGGCTAGCCCACTTTCCCAATTACATTTATCAGGATAGTTAGCCAATATTGCCAGAAAACCACAGGACAAAAATAATTCTTTACTGGTAACCAGTTACAACCAGTGTGTTTCTCTAGCAGCATGCACATTTACAAACAAATTTCAGAAGGACTAAAGAGTATTAGCACTGATTTGGAAGAAAAAAAAAAGCAGTAGAATTTACTGTGGCAAATAGATATGAGAAAAAATGCATACCCAATGAGAACAGAACCTACTGAATATTTTGGAACTACAAATTTCTGAGACAAAAATGACAGCTGTAATTATTATTTATGTATGTGGCATGAGCCACAACTGTACATACTGTGAAGCTTTTGGTTGTGGTTCCACCAGTGTAAGAACAGAGCCCGTTTTTAAATAGCCAACATCTTACTAGTAACAGCATCTTCCAAATTAGGAAGCACTAGAAAGCAAATTATCACAAATACTGGATAAATGCATTTACTCGAAACTTCTTTTATCACACTATAACAATTCCCTAAAACAATTCTATAGAGAAAAGCCTTTTTGCTTCAGTAAGATTTGTGTTGGGAGACACCTAGAAATAATATTTTTCTTGAACATATAGAAAAAAAAAAATGAAAGGATGCAACTAACTTTGTAGAAAACTTGGAGAAACTAAATTTTACTATTTTCCAACCCTGAAAAGAAGGGGAAGAAGTAGAAAACCCCAAATCAAGACACAGTCTTCAAAGATTGCCAGCATTTGTCTAAATGGCTTTTATCTAGGGGCTTTTATCTAAAACAAGTTCTAGGCAAAACCAAAACATAAAGCAAATTGAAATAATTGTTCTCTCAAATAATCAGACATCTGTTCTTTTATCAGTCCTTCGAACAAAGTGCTCTGCAAGGTGCATGGGGAATACTAGCATCATAGCTCTATAAGGTTCAACACACAGCTTGGGGGTTTCCTGCCAGAGGGAATAAAGCTTGGAGAAGGCATTTTTTCTTCTCTCAATTTGTAGCAGTTTCTGTTTTGCCAGGTTGCTATTAACAGAATCATCTCTTTCAGTCAAGCCACTGTCAAGAAAAGTCAAAAACAGATTCTACAGCATATTTAAAGAAACATTGGATAATAGTTTTTGGACAAAATCATATACCTTCAGTTTTGGAACAGGTACTTGTAGAATAAGCTGCAGTGCCTGAGTACAGGCAGAGGAACAATACCGCTTCCTTTGTCAATTAAGTCAACACACAGCCATTTTAATTTTGTTTGTTTGCTTCTCCAAAAGTGACACCTTGAAAGATCAGATGATATCTCCTTCCCTATTAAAGGCTCATTTGCCAACAAAAAAAGTCAATAAGAGAGCAACGTAAGTCACAGCTGGATGTTGAAATGAGAATCATAGCAGGAGTAAGGGAGAAGCAATCTGAAGAACCTGAAGGCAATTTACCAACACACAGCCATTTCTCAGTCCCAAAACTGACAGTGTGGAAACTACTGCATTTCATTTAAAGCATGAAGCCCTGTCTCCTCTAATGCAGTTATTTACCTTAGTACTTTCAGTATTAAGGCAGATGTTCTTTAGATGAAAATATGTATTTGGGTGTGGACTGTGCTGGACTAAATAACAGGATACACAAAAACACTAAGAGATCTAATCTCGAAATTATTATTTTTTTCCTTTTGGTTTTGCTTTTGCATTGCGTTTGATCTGTTTGACTGCACTACTGTATGGCATATAACTCACTCAACAGCAAAAGCATCCATGCCTGTACACAAACAGCGGTGCTCTGTTACAGACACCGCGGCGAAGCGCAGCCATGCTTCGGGGGTACAGCAGTGGGAGATGAGCTATATAACTGTCAGAACGAGCACCACGCAGCTTGCAAGGAGATCGCCAGGCGGAAACGACACCCGCACAGCCCGAGCGCTGCGCCGCCGCCATGACGTACTGACGGCGGGAAAGCGTGTAGCGCCACCCCGCGGCTCCATCCCCCACAGCTCCCGAGAGAAGGCACGGTCCGCCGGAGCTGCTGCGCGTGCGCACGGCGCTGCCGCTGCGGTTATGGCGGCGCCCCGTAGCCTCAGCGTCTCGCGGTGCCGAGCGCGGTGACGAGCGCGGGCGGCGGGGGATGGCCGAGGCGGGGAACGCGATGTCTGCGCTGGGGCCGCGGCTGGAGGCGCTGGGCCGGCGGCTGGAGGCGCCGAGGGGAGCGGGCGGCGATGGTGAGGGGCGGCCGTAGGGAGTAGAGAGGGAGGCCGTTTCCTTCGTCCCCGGCGAGCCGCTGAGGGCACCGCCCTCCCGCCAATAAGGAGTCAGGGCCCGGGGCGAGACCGCGGTCCCCTGAACTTTGAGGCCGCTTTGTTGAGCGGGTGGTGAGGCTGAAGCCCGCCCCTGTGTGGCACCGAGGCGGCCGCTGTGCCCGTGCGCTGTGTGGTGCTGCCCGCGGGGCCCTCCGGTCGGTGACGGCAGGGCGAGCAGCGCAGAGCCTCCTAGAGAGCTGCGCGTTATCTGCCGCTGCACGCATCACGAGGGCTGACCCTGCTAAGGGGGCACTGTGTTCTTCTTCAGGTATCTTCTTAGCAAAGGGCTCTGCTGCTCTGGAGAGACTGAAGGACCTCTGTAAAGAAGGGAAAGAGAAAGCACATCATTCCACGATTCTACAGCTTTACACACAGGTAGTGCATACGAAGCACGTTAACTGCCTGCTTTTGGTGTGTGGGAGAAGGGTAGGGTACAGCAGGAACTGATCTGTGTCACCTAGCATGTGTGGTAACACAGAGCACATAAAATGCCAGTCTGCTTTTATTTGGTTTGGGAGATGAGTTAAGAATTGACATGTAGGACATAAAGAGACAGGAAGAGTTACCTCAACTGCAAACAACCATACTTTTAACTGGTTACTTTTTAAAATTAAGGATTACTTTAAAATTGTAATCCTTTACAAACTGTCACAAGTGTGCGCTTGTTACTGTACACTACCATCTGATTAGTTTGCTGGTGGTATTTTCACATTGTGTATCTTCTTGCTTCCATAGGCTGTCCTAGACATTACCTATTTTGAGGAAAGCCAGCTTGTGGATGAAGATTTTGCAGGGGAATCTTCATTACAAAAAGTTAAAGAACTTATCTGTATTCTTTCAGACCCAGAAGACTTAGTGAGGGAATGCAGCGTAAATGAAGAAGTGAGTACTAACATTATTCATCCAGAGAATTAACTATTTATTACTTAAAAATCAAAAATCTGATTTGGGTAGTAGCACTTGGTTTTTTTTCTCCAATGATCTTAAATTTTTCCCAACACAAATACTTTTTAGCTGTATTTAAATAATGATTCCTGAAAATAATTTTTTAAGTAACTTGTGTTCCGAGAATTTTCCTTACTAACATTTCCTGATTTCAGACACTTTTGACAACATAAATGCAAAGTACTGGACATATGACTGAGCACTGTTGTTAAGCACAGCCTTTAAAGACGGACGTTTAACATGTATGCATGCGTGAGTGTGTATGTGATAGCTCAGATGGCTTATTTTTTGGCTTATCACAGTTTGCTGGATTTTATTTCAGCCTGTCAACATCCTTAGTACAGACTTGGTAGAATGTCTTTACTGGAGAAAAGGAGCCCTGTTATACATGTATTGCCATAGAGCAAAAGAAAGGAGCGAATGGATGAGAGGAAACGTTGCTTTATTTAAAAAGGTAAAGGAGATTTTGTGAAGTGCTCTGAGGGTATGAGTGCATGTAAGTACAGTTAAAAGCATGACTTTTCTCTTTTAAAACTTTTTTTTTTTTTTTTTTTTTCCTCCTTTAAAATAAGACTGAGGAAATTCGTATCTGGAAGTATTTCTGGCTATCATTAAATTAATGAGAATTTATCTAATTTTTTTCCTTGTCTTTTAAACTATATTCAGTGTCTTAATGATGGAGTTCATTACCTGATGAAGATGCTTAGCTTTAGATGCCCTCTTCATTTAGATGGAGATGTCTCACTTCAAGATAAAGACACAGCTAGACTACTCAGTGAAGGTAAAAAAAAATAAAATAAAATAAAAAATACAGCACACACCTGTAACTGCTCCACTTTATGAAATCTCTATTATGTTTGTTTTTTTTAAATTTCATTTGCATTCAAAGACTCACTTTTTAGAACAAAAGCAGCAAACAAACAAACAAAAAAACAAACAACCAAACAGATATGAGAGAAGTAGGCAGAAGTACTGCTACTGCTTAAAATGTTCAAATGTTAATGCTCAAATAGCATCTTTTTGCTGGACTTGAAAGGCTCGTAAGTACTCTAGTATGAATATACCTCACCATACCAGCATTTAAAGAAATATGGAACTTCTCTTGGATAAATAGGCAAACACAATTAGCAGAGTATTTATATGCCCATCTTAAATATTTAAATATTATGAAAGGGCGAAGTGGGTGAAGTAGTGAGCAAGACACATTCTCTTCTGGGGAGCTTCAGTCATACAATTGTAGAAATGTGTGCTTTAGTCTACCTCTCAAATAGGCTTAGGTTGCCTTTGTCAGCATTGATTACTGTGTTACTAGAAAAAAGTAACAAACTGTATATTTGTTCACAAGAGAAGAATGAAATACCTGATCTAAATTGTGTTTTGCAGGTATATTTAGTGACACGCACTTACTGGCCATGATGTACAGTGGAGAAATGTGCTACTGGGGACTGAAATACTGTAGAGAGGGAAAGCAGGAGAACCTCAAGATGATGAACTCAGTGTCTGGCAGTGAGCTGGGCTGCAGATCACAGGGTGCACTGGTGGATTTCCGAGAGCTGGGCAAAACCATGTTAACAAAGTACATTGCTGTGTGTGAGGGACCTTTAAAAGACCAAGGATGGAACACAACAAGTGCAAACCAGATGCTATGTTACCTCAGGAAAACCCACAGTTAGAATTGTCGCTGTTGCTCTGTCGGAAGCTGCTCGCTGTGTGACGAGCGCTCATAGGATGACTGTCTGCTCCAGGCTGGGACCTGCTGTGCCTCGAGCCTGCCTGCTCGTACAGAATGTATGCTAAGTTGCATTAAAGCACGAGTTCAAAGAACGCGCGGCACGGCGGTCCAAAGTGCTGTGCGGTAGTGCTTCTGGAACGCGTCACCGTTCAAGAGCCCCATCGAATCGCGGGTGACGTTCCTCGCGGGCCTGCTGACGGCGCAAACTCCACGCTGGCCGCGGCGGCGTGTCCTCCTCCGTGCCCCGGGCGGGCGCCGCCTCCGGCCGCGGTGCGGCTGACGGCGGAGCGCGGCGGTATGGCGGCGGAGCGCGGCGGGCTGGAGGCGGCGGTGCGCGGCCGCCTGCGCGGGCTGCGGGAGCGCTGGGTGCGGGGCAGCCGGGAGAGGGGTGCGGCGGCCGCCGAGCCGGGCTCCACAGACGGCGCCGAGGAGGCGGCGGAGGAAGTGAGCGCCCTGCAGGCGCTGCCGGTGAGCGAGACCCTCCTTCTTCTCCGGCGCTGCGCGGGACCGCGTAAGGGCGCGGTGTGCGTGAATAACCCAAATTCCTTGCTGCAGCAAGGGAAAGACTCCGCGGTCTCTAGGCCTTCCGCATCGGGCAGCAGGGATAACGCACCATGATGCGCGGCACCCGTGTCCTACTCTCCCTCTGCGCCGCTCGGTTTGTCGGGCTCCCGGAGCGCTAACCCCCTGCTGTGGTTGTTTGCAGATCGACGTGCAGCTGTATATCATGTCCTTCCTCTCTCCCCAAGACCTGTGCCGCTTGGGGTGCACGAGTTGTTACTGGAGGGTGGCTGTGCAGGACCCCCTGCTGTGGAGGAATTTTCTCCTGCGGGATCTCCCGATTTGGACATCTGTTGATTGGAAATCTCTCCCAGCTGCAGAAATTTTTAATAAAGCCTTTTCACAAGTCAGCGATGAAACCCTGTATGATTATATGGCAGCGTAAGTATTTCTCTGTTCTCTGATACTATTCACAAGCCCTGCACAGCAGCCCACAGACAGGTTTTATATTTACAGTAGAAAGATTGTGTGGTAAGATGATACTGAATAAATGTTGATGGTTGTTAAACCCATTGCCTGTTTTGGAAATCTGATTTCCTGTTGTATGACAGTTTGGTCAGTTTGGAATTCAGCAGGATGTAAGATGCTTTGAGAAAGCAGAGGTTTTTGTAAACTATACCACAGGAAAACAGGAGAAGCTGCAAATCCTGGTGATGTTGATGAAAATGTTCTTAAGTACAATGGAAAAGTACACTCATAATAAAAGTACTAAAAAGTATTTCAAATACAGCAAAACTAATGATTATTCCTTATCTCTGAATTAGAGAGATATGGGTCTCTTCAAGCCAGAGATTGGACTATTCTGTGGATAACTGTTTGGAAGGTCACAGCCAGGGCATTGTGGTCTTGACTATAGAGGCTGTTCACAAGTGCTATCCCCCATGGGTCCATCTTGGGACCAGTGCTATTCAACATCTTTACCAGTGACATAGACAGTGGGACTGAGTCTACTCTTAGCAAGTTTGATGATGACACCAAGCTGAGCGTGTGTTTGATGCAGTCAAAAGGGGGCGATGGTATCCAAAGGGACCTGAACAAGCTTGAAAAGTGGGACTATGAGAACCTAACGAGGTTCAACGAGGCCAAGTGTGTGGTACTGCGTTTTGGTTAGGGCAGTCCCAGGTATATGTTTCTCCACAAGCTGGAGATGGAACTCATTGAGAGCACCCCTGTGGACATGGTCTTCAGGTTCTGGTGGATGGAAAGCTGAACACGAGGCAGCACTGTGCACTTGTGGCCTAGTTGGCCAACAGAATCCTGCTCTGCAACAAAAGAGGTGTGGTCAGAGGGAAAAGGGAGATGATTGTCCCCCTCTGTTCTCCCCTTGTAAGGCCCCACTTGCAGTACTGCATCCAGGCCTGGCGGCCCCAGCACAAGAAAGATGTGGAACTGTTGGACCAGATCCACAGGAGAGCTGGGAAGATGACTGGAGAGCTGGAGCACCTCTCCTGTGAAAAATGGCTGAGGGAGCTCAGCTTGTTCAGCCTGGAGAGGAGAAGGCTGTGGCAGTATTTGAAGAGCGTTTACAAGAGGGGAGGATTACACTAGAGGATGGTGAGGCACAGGTTGAACAGAGAAGCTGCGGATGTCCCATTCCTGGAGGTGTTCAAGGCCAGGTTAGGTGGGGCTCTGAGCAACCTGATCTAATGGATGGTGATCCTTCCTATGGTGGCAGGGTTGGAACTGGTTGGTCCTTGAGGTCTCTTCTAATTCAAGCCAGTCTAGATTCTTATGCTTTTTGTATTTTATTTTCAAGACTTAGGAGGAAAAAAAAAAAAAGTAAATATTGAGAGTGCATGGAATAACAAGTAGTACTGTTTTAGTTCTGTTGATTACTGGCTAAAAGATAAAGTCTGTGATTAGAAGTAGTGTAGTTTAAAATCACAGAAACCTCTATAGTGTGTTTGGATGACTGAACAAAAACTCTGTGACAAACAGATTATTCAGTTGTGGTTTTTTAAACTTCAGTTACTTTGCAGTAAAAGTTTTTCATTTGCAGTTACTTTTTCCCAAGATGATTTCATGAAACTTGCTTCATGAAGAAGTGCACTAAGACTCTACAGTCTTTTTGCCCTGCATCCTCACTTTGGATGGGAAAGAGGTACTCTGAATGTGAAGTAAAACATATTTCTGATTTTGAACATAGGATTTAAATGTTCTTAGGTCTGAATACTTAAGAACATCATATATTTGAAACCATCTGTCACTGATTGCCATTGTGTCACAAAATGGGTTGGGTTGGAAGGGACCTTTAAAACCATCTAGCTCTAACCCCCTACAGTACGCAGGGTTGCCACCCACTAGATCAGGCTGCCCAGGCCCCCATGCAACCTCTTATCCTAACAGTGCTGTATGCACAGTGTTGGAGTTTCTAATTTTCCTTTTTTTTTAATAAACAATAAGATTTATATTAAAGGTTTGAAAAGTCGGTGTTTGGAATCTGGATGAACTGATGCTTTTGCCTGCTTTATGGTGATGTCTGAAATCATCAGTTTGGAACTTTCACCAGTGTTTTCACCCTTTGCTTGAGTTATAGAAGTAACAAAGCATGAGAAATGTGGGGCCTAAATAAATGTTTATTGATTAATACCACTTTTGTATTTTGTGTTTAATTTCTAGTTGCATCTATTTTAACACAGATATAAAAAAAGCTGTCCCCAGACCAGAAGAAGTTTGAAATCAAGCCGCCCCCGCTATGGTGCAGTCGCTTCCTTTTTGCAATCGCTGGTCACTCAGTCAGAACCTCGTTTTGCTATGTTTGGGCCAGGTTTGGAAGAGCTGGATGACTCTTTAGTACAAAAGATGATGACGTGCCCAGAAATCCTGCTAGTGGCTGGCTTACCTCAAAGACGAATTCATGGTAACGATAGTGATGGTTATTGTTTGTATTAATTTTAATTTTATGAACAGATATAACAAAAAGCAGGGGAGAAATGGAAAAAGATTTTTTTTAATGCTCCCCTTGAGACTCAAAAGCATACTGATTAAAAAAAAAAAAAAACAACAAAACAAAACAACAAAAAACTCTCTGCATGTATTTATTCAAAAGGATAAATACAATAAGCATTAGAATAAGATTGTTGCTGCAGTAAATGTAATGATTTCATTAAAGAAAAATCAAAGGTATCTAGATTTTGTTATTTTTTTCTATTTTGATCCTAAATTCCATGTCAGAATTGCTGTGGTAATAGAAATTTTCCTTTAGATCTTGCTTGCAGTTAAGTGGTTAAAAACTAGGTTTGTGTTTTTTATGCAGGAATTCAAGACTGATCATGTATGTGATTCAGTCATCCAGTGTCAAACAGTGTAAACTCCAGAGTTGTAGGACCATGAAAAGGAATTTTGACAAAGTTTAAAAACTTTCTTTTTAACGTCTGTAATTTCACTTACGTCCAGACCTCACAAAAACTTTATTTCCTTTATTTAAACGCAGCACAGTTGGAATGATTACATTATCACTGTAAGAGGTGTGAAAATATGGTGTGAAAATAGAACTTCTTAGTTACCTTTTTTCTCTCATTTTCAATTAAATTTGTTGTAAATAGTCCAGAAACTTTTCTGTGCTAGTTTAGGGTGACAAACACAAGTCTAACTCCTCTCTTAGCTTTCTAGGTTCGACCCTAAATGTTAAATGTATGGAAATACCTTCTTGTTTTCTTCTAATGCTGCTTATTTTAGTTAAATTAACTGTCTGTGTGGCCAATTTAGAGCAGGTGTAAAATTTCATCATGAAATAATGTATGCAAACTACCCCTAGCAGCAGCATGTTTGTATGTATCCACTGCATTTTTCAACCTGGAACTTAATTGTATTCGATGACAAAGTGTTTGTAATCTTTTATGCTTTCTTTCCTGTAGGAATTGGATCAGGAGTCAGTTTTCAGATGAATAATAATCAAAAATTCAACATTGTGACGTTGTACTCAACCACCAGGTAAGATTACTTCTCCACAGAAAAGCACAATTTTTCAGTTGTTTCATACTTCTCTTGTTTGTTTTTTTGTTTTTTTTTAATGTGACTCCTTATAAACTGAAACTTCAATACATATCTTTACTCTTTCTCTTCCCTTCTTCAACTGCTACATTTTCATGTGGAAGTAATAAGCTTATTTCCCTAATTTTATATATTTATCATGCGTATTTGTTATACATAACAGGTCCTCCTGTCCCTCTTGATACCTTAAAAGACAATAACCATATGCTAGTTTGTCTTTTCGGGTATATTTTCATATGCATCTCACAAATCGCTTGTCATCTATAAACATACAGTAGAAAAAATGGGTGAGGAGTGAAAATTTTTGGTGGCTTAGAATACTTTCCTTCCACTTTACTATGCTACCTAGATTTTGTTTTGTATTCTCTACTTAATTAACCTGACTACTGAAATATTTTAATATCTTGTAGTGTGGAAAGGAAGAGAGCGAGAGAAGAACAAGCTTCTGTTGTGAATAAGATGTTCTACCAGGAGAACAGCACTGAAGGGAATCAACAAGCTGTGCAGTACAATGTAATAGCTCAAGTTAAAAGGGTGTGCGAAGTAGTTGATGGATTCATTTATGTTGCTAACGCAGAAGCTCATAGAAGTAAGGAACTTCTCTCTTTTTTGTTTTAATTCATATTTTGTGAATGGTATTTTACGGATGGTTGGAATGTCGTAAAGATCTGTGAAAAGAATGAAATACATGAAAATCCATTTTCGGATTGCTTCACTTTAGTGCTGTTTCTTCAGGTCTTACTCAGAGGTTACCTATCCTAAACACTTTCCATTATTTTCCTGTGAGGGGTTATGTCCCCTGGATTTGGTTATAATTAACATTGGTAAGGCAGTTATTTAAGCTATATCTGGTAAATGATTTGAATTTAAATATATACACACACACATATACACAAACTAAACAGAAATAAAACAAAAAACCTTGGGGGTTAGGAAGGAGGAAAACCTGGAATGATAGTAGTGATGGAACAGCCTGAAAACAGAGCCTTCACCAGAAAGGCTGCAGTGTAAGATGCAATTAATCCAGATCAGGATGGTCATATAGTAAGACGAGTCCAAACAAGCATCATGTTAATTGTCTTTACATACATCAGCTTTAAATGGACGAAAAGTGTTAATTCAGGAAATAAGAGTTATACTGAGGCTGCAGACTGTATAGTGTGTCAGTATTTCTCAGTGGCTTGTTGTAGTCTTGGACTCTGCGGGGTACCTGGAAAACACTGTGATGTTAAGGACTTGATTAAGCTGTATGTGTAATTTATAGAGCTCTTTAAATAACACCTAAGTTTGGTATAAAGATGGATGATGTAGCCTTGAGAGTAGCAAACTGGATAATTTGCCTCTCTTTCTTCCAGCCCTCTTTCCTCAACTCTGAGACCTTATGTATCTGAAAATTAATGCGCATTTGAAAATTATATTATATATATCTGAAAATTGTTTTATATACTTGAAAAAATATATAAATAAAATTAAAAACAATCGAAAATTAATATGTATGAATGTTCTCCTTGAGGTTTACGTGTATTTAATATTCATGTATTTATTAAAAATTGTTTCCTAGAGCATGATCGTGAGGAGGAACTGGCTCATATTTTGGCTATGATTGATCCAGCCCTTGGGCCTCCTAACAGACCTCTGCTAGTTCTGTCTTGTGTCTCTCATTTTGGTGTGGAAAGGATTCCTTGTGTTCGTATGGCACATCAGCTGCAACTAAATCTGCTACCTCGACCCTGGATGGTACTTGCTTTTAAATCTTTATCTTCTGTTTCTAGATGGCTCAAATGTAATGTAAGATCATTATAGTTCCTGAAATGTACCTATATAAGAAAGTGTACAGCTTTCAACAATACTATATAAGCACTCCACCTAAGTGAAGAATTTAGTGTATCTGGTCCTGTAAGATAAGCATTAGCCAAGCTGACCATAAAGGTGGTTTGGCCAGGTGTCCGCACAAGAAGCTTCAGATGGAGCCAAAACGGAAAAGAAGTGTGAAGTGCTGGTCTTAAAGGAATTAAGGAAAATTCAGTTAAATTTGAATTTAAATTTTCTGAATCTCAACCCAAAGCCTTAACTATAGGATGGATTTCTCTGATGTTTTTCATGAGTCTCTTAATTATCACTTGTTTGGCATGATGTACTGAGAGAAATGTAATTGTTTAGTCTAGTTTGGTTGGTCGGTTTAGCTGAAAGGAATCTTTGGAGACCATCTAGTCCAACTGTCTGATCTCTTCAGGGCTAGCCAAAAGTTAAAATATTTAGTGAGGGCATTATCCAAATGCCTCTTAAACACTGACAGGTGCAGGCATCAGGCACCCCTCCCAGAGGCCTGTTCCAGCCTCATGGTGAATACCACCCTCACGGTGAATAAACGTTTCCTAATGCCCAGTCAACCTCACCTGGCATAGATCTGTGCCCTTCCCATCCTATCATCTCAGAAACAGAGTCCAGCACCTCCCTCTCCACTTCCCCTCCTCTAAAGTTATAGACTACAATGAGGTCACCTCCTGACCTTCTCTTATCCAATCTGGACAACTCAGGTGTTTTCAGCAATTTCTCACAGGATGTACCTTCCAGCCCTGTCATAGTGAAGTACTTTAACATCCTTTTTTTTTTTAAACTGCACACAATATTCAAGGTGAGGCCACACCAAAACTGAAGCAGGAGCATCATTTCTGGCTGACTGTGCTGTTCAGTGTCCTCAACAATGTGATTTGCCCATTTGGCTGTCTGGCTCATGCTGAGCTGCTGTCACCAGCATGCCCAGATCCCTTCCTGCTGACTCGCTTTCCAGCCACTCCCATGTGTGCCTATGTCTGGCATTGCTCTCTCCCAAGAGCAGTTCCCTGCATTTCTTTTGTTGAACTTCACACTGTTGATTATTGTCTGGAGGTTCAAGGTATCTGCATCTCTTTTCCAGCAAACTTACTGAGAATGTATTTCACTTCTGCATCTAAATCACAGATAGAAATGTTGAACAGAACTGGTCCTTCTGTTGAACCTTGAGTTCTTGACAAATCAATTCTTTTTTTTTTTTTTTTTTTTTTTGCCTGAAGTGCTGGACCAATTGTTTCATGTGTGCCAAGTGGAATATTTATCATTATGGCTCAGTTACGTGTAACTTGTTTTCTGATAATGTTGTGTAGGAAAAGAAATCCCAATTTGTTTCCTTTGCTTTCTTTAAGAAAAATCTTCAGAAGCTTTTTCTTTTCAGTGTAACATCTGTAATAGGCACTTTATAATACATTACAAAATCTGAAAAGAAATAATACATCTTGAATTGTAATTGAATTGTGTTGACATTTTTTTAGAGGGATTTTCAAGTAGCTTCTCATCTGTAACGTAAATAAAATGTTCTCAAGTAGCGATTGAAGTAATTGAAATTAAATTCACCAGAATATCAAGAATGCAGGGCTTTTCTAATGAATCTCATAATTAATTCTTTAAAAAATGTTTTCATTTTGCACCTTGCTTTCAGGAAACTTGTGCTAAGGGTTTGGAAGTGAGTGGTAAAAATGTAAATTTGATAGATTTCTGACTCTAAAGATAAACATGGAGTGCAGCTAAAATATGATTACATTGCCTGTTAACTGTAATATATGAGATTTAAAAAATATTCTGTGATATTATTATTTTTACAGGTGCAGGACACTGTAGCTGCAACTTTAAGTGGATTGCTAAGTGGAATTGAATGGCTCTTGGAGGAAGCGGATTGTAAAAATATACAATAGTTGAACTTATTTTGTTTTACTGTATAGAGACTTCTGTGTTTTAAAATTCACACGAAATGGGAATGTCATCCTGAGTCAGAAATATCAGAAAGAAGATTTAAAACAAAATCTAGCGTATATTTCAATGCACATAAAAAAATTAACATTGTTAATTAGAAGAACAAGTAAGGGTTCTTGGGTTCCTGCAGCTGATGAAGAATTGGCTTCATAAAGGTATCTGGGTGTTTGGTTGTTTTGGTTTTTTTGCTTGTTTGTTTGTTTGTTTGTTTTTGTGTTAGTTTCTTCTTTGAATCTAGGGCCTTCAGAGTGCAATCTTTCCTGAGAATATCTGATAATCTAATCTTTTCTGTAAATATACCAAACACTAGGTTAATTTATCAGCGTAGTCGCATTGCACACATCTCGCCTTTAGTTATTTTATTTAGTTAATATAAATTCAGAGAGAGCTCAGCAGTGACAGTTGTCTGACCAAAGAAAATACACTACCTTGTTATCTTGCTCTTAGCTCATCTTTTGTAGGTTAACAGATAAATAGTATATTTTTCAGAATATTTCTCTCCTTTTTTTTTCCTTCCCCTGAAGTAATTAACTCTGTGATAAGAAATAGTGCTTAGGGGAGAATTATCAGAATTTGCAGAAACGGACAAGTAAAATCCCTTCTGTCAGTCACATGTTTCTTGTTTGTCATCTTATTTGCCAGTACACCACAAAACACTTAAGCATCTTCAACATTCTGCTGCAGATAAATTAGTTTAAACTGACATACATGTTGCCATGAATGAATATTAAGTGGAATGATTAATCTTTCAGTGCTCAAGGACCTGTCAGTTACTCAAATAATTGTTGCTATTTGCAGATGTGAAATATTTGACTTAAAATTTTCTACACAGTTGGAAATATTTTTGTAAAAAGGGAAACAGCACTTCAGATCTGGAATGGTAGCTTTTTTGTATTGTTGTCTTTTGAGATAGTTCTGCTTCTGGTCTTCCACCTTTTAAACAATTTTTCACAGAATCACAGAATTGTAGGGGTTGGAAGGGAGCTCCATAGATCATCGAGTCCAACCCCCCTGCCAAAGCAGGTTCCCTACAGCAGGTCGCACAGGTAGGCATCCAGGCAGGTCTGGAACATCTCCAGAGAAGGAGACTTTTTTTTAATTGTTGAATGAATATTCAGAGACTTCCCTTAGCTTTTTTTTGCCTATGAATGCATTTGTTCTGTTTTGTTTGTAGTTTATTTTCTTTACCTTTCTCCATAGAAATGCAGTCGTCTTGAAAAACTTTTTAGTGCCTAGATAGATAAATGGCTACATGGTGTAAGTACAGCTATAACTACCTTTATCTGGTATGTGTTTGTGCTTAACACAGCTATTTCAGGAACATTCCATTTAGGAATTATCCCTCTCTCTTAATGAAGTAGTACAAAGATGGAAGTGTTGTCTTACTTTCTTGCATATTTATCCTGTATTAACTCAGTTTTCTGGACTTTACCCTGATTTCATATCCGGGCATGTTTGGAGTGAAAATCTACAGGAAGCCATACAATACTAATTCTGCAACTAACTCTGCTTTGATAGAGTATGTGTACTTTGTCCTCTGAGATAGGATGCAAAACATGGATAACTGGAGAAAAATTTCCACACAGTGGGTGCATGTGAACTTCCTGCTAATCACAATAATTCTGTAGTGATCTGTCTACTTGAATGCAGCATCCTGATTTTGTGTTAGATACTATGAATGTTTGTTTCTGTCAGATCCTCCTTCTACTTTCTAAAAAATAAATTATTTTTTTAAAATGGCATTTCTATTCTTCTTTCCTTTTATATTACACCCCCCTCCCATACCTGCACATACACAAATGTTTACGGCCATGCTGCTGTAACAGGTAACAAGCTGTCATTGTCATGTTAACCATTAATGAAAACAATATTATTGAACAATATTATTTAATTAACAGACACTTATTCATTATCATTTTAAAAGGTCAAGATAATGTGAAAACACAGTTCTCCTTAACCTAAAGGACTTTGGTTAAATTAATTTACAGTAACTTAATTAAGTGTTTATAAAGGAGACAGACAGAGGAAATTGGAAGTTTGTGCAGCTGCATCAATGGAATTTCAGAGCTGGTGGGACAGCCTGTATGGCTGCAGTGGAACAATACTGTACCCTGGGGTGCTGCAGGCCCAGCACTGCGACCATGCCAGGGAGGGTGGTGTACCGCTCCGCTCTACACTGTGAAGCCTATCCTCCAGCAACGGGTGTGGGTTTGGGTGCCACAGTACAGAAAGGACACACAACTCTTAGTGTGTGTCCAAAGAAGGGCCACAAAGATGGGGGAGGGTCTGGGAGGCAAGGTGCATGGGGAGTGGCTGAAGGCCCTGTGTGCTGGGCCCAGAGCAGAGGAGCTGACGGGAGGCCTGATGGCAGCTGCAGCTTCTCACAGGGAGTGGAGGACAGTGCCGGGCTCTGCTCTGCGTGACAGCGACAGGGCCCGAGGGAACAGCATGGAGCTGTGCAGGGGAGGGATGGGGGTTAGGGAAGAGCTCTGCACCACATGGCGGGGGGCATGGAACAGCCTGCCTGGAGCAATGGGCATAGCCTTGAGCTGCTGCAGTTCATGGGGCATTTAAGTAAGGCTCTCAGAAATAGAGTTTGAATTTTGGGTGGACCTCTGTGGAGCCAGGAGTTGAACTTGGTGATCCTTGTGAGTCCCTTCCAATGCTATCATTCTATGATACAGCTGTGGAAAATGTGGAGAAGAGTGTGCGCTTCGCGTATGAATAGCTCAGATGCCAAAAGATAAACCATGGAATGATTTAAGAAGCCACATGCCAAATGATTATTGCACAGAAGAGATTGCTGTAGATTTTGTGTAGATCCAGTTTTTTTAAAATTTCAGGCAGAACAATTACTATGTAAACTCTGGACTTTGGTGAGCTTACAAGTGTAATGATGCACATAAGTTTCATAGAATCGTATAACCACCAAGATTGGAAAAGACCTCTGAGATCACCCAGTTCAACATCCACCTACCACCAATATTTCCCACTAAACCATGTTCCTCAGTACAGCATTTAAGTGTTTCTTGAGCACCTCAAGGGCTCCACCATCTCCCTGGGCAGTCCATTCCAGTGTCTGACTATTCCTTCAGAGAAGAATTTTTTCCTAACATCCAACCTGAATCTTATCTGGTACAACTTCAGGCCATTCCCTCTAGTCCTACTGCTAGTGTCTCACTCCGATTATCAGAGGGAGAGGAGATTCTTTGATATTATGTATACCCTATCTGAGATTAAGAAACAACAGTTCAAATGTTGGTCCAACCAGTTTATTACAAATCCTGGTCACTAAGAGAAAATGAAGGCAGTGTCTACTATGAATTAGGGTGATGGGGAAGGGAAAGTGGAAGATAGGAAAGAGGAAAGAAGTAAGAATTATAAAAAGCGGGGATAGTCACCACCAAGATCCAGCAGCATCCCGTTACACGCTGCTCTGATGGTCCGAGGCCAATACAGGAGCAAAAGTGCAGGGGAGAGCCGCACAGAGTGGCCAGCCTTAGGCAGCAAGCTGGTACAGATGGAACAGGCCAGGAGAGTCTGTCAGCAGGTAGGTGTCATGTTGTGAGGCGTCTGACGTCAGACACCTAACCTCTTGGTTGTAGGTCCCTTTTCTATCTTCCTTCTTCTGCCAACATGGCATTCCTGCGCACTAAGAGTCACGTGCAGCACCCCTGAGATGGCCATATCCCTCAAGATGAGCCCACACAAAAGACTGCTTCCAAGCCATTAAGCTGCTACCTATCTCTCTCTCCTTGCCTCTGGCCACCAAATCTTCACACAAAAGATTTCTCCAACTTCAACCAGAACTTTCCTGGACTTGTCCACTTGTGTTCCTCAGCAAGCTTTGAGACAAAGCTGCAAAAGGAATAATCTCTCACAGCTAGCTACATGGGAGAAGAGACTGCCTGCCACCTCATCACAACCTCTCTTCAGGTTGTGAAGAGTGATAAGGTCACTCATAAGCCTCCTCTTCTCCAGAATAAAGAATTTCAGCTCCATAGATGCCTTTCATAAGACTTATGCTCCAGACCCCTCACCAGCTTTGTTGTCCTTCTCTGAACACACTCCAGAGCCTCAATGTCTTTCTTATAGCGAGGGGCCCAAAACTGCACACAGCACTTGAGGTGCAGCCCCACCAGAGCTGAGTACAGGGGTTTGATCACTGCCCTGTTCCTGCTGGCAACGCTTTTTCTGATGCAAGCCAGGATGCCATTGGCCTTTTTGGCCACCTGGGCACATTGCTGAGCGCTGACCAGCACCCCCAGCTCCTTTTTCTCCACACAGCCATTCTGCCCAAGCCCACAGTGCTGCCTGGGGTTGTTGTGGCTGAAGTGCAGGACCCGGCACTCATTCTTGTTGAACTTGATCCCTTTGGCCTCAGCCCAGCCATCCCGCCTGCCCAGATCTCTCTGTAGGGCCTTCCTACCCCAGGCAGATCAACGCTTCCTCCCATCTTGGTGTCGTCTGCAGACTTGTGGAGGGTGCACTCAATGCCCTCATCCAGGTCACCAACAAAGGCATTAAACAGGACAGGCCCCAGTTCTGACCCTTAGGGAGCACTGCTTGTGACTGTTCACTGGCTGGATTAACTCCATTCACCACCACCCTCTGGACCTGGCCACGCAGACATTTCTTTACTCAGCAAAGAGTGCATCTGTCCAAGCCACAGGCTGCCAGCTTCTCCAGAAGAATACTGTGGGAGACAGTGCCAAAGGTTTTGCTAAAGTTTAGGACTTAAATTTCAAAAGTAGCTACAATTTGAATACTAGTATGTCTCAAAAATATCTTTTATATTTCAAATAAAATAAAATGTGTTGTCTATGTTTATATTTATGAGTTACAGTGGATGTAACCGAGGATGCTGTCTGTAAGCGTCGAGTGTCTGCGGCTCCTCCTGGAGCGGCCCTTTGCGGTCGCAAAGCGGGCAAGCGCGGACCCTTCCCCTCCTTGCAAGCTCTCCGCATCCCTCTAGATGGCACTACTGATCTACAGCAGCCGCCGGCGAGCACCAGCTCAACTGACAGCAGTTTCAAGTCACCGGTTTTCTTTTCTCAGATGCAGAAACAGGCAGTTATAGAACAGCATATAAGAAAACAAAAACAAAACAAAACCAAAGCAAACAACAGAAAAGCAAATTCCCCACCCACCCCCACCCACCCCCCCCCAAAAAAAAAAATCACAAAAACAACAACATCAACAAAAACCACCCAAAGTTTTCCAAAAGATTATAGAGAGAGGGTATTATGTCACTCTTCTTTTTCTTTTGTCCATCCTAATCATAAAATCACAGAATGGCTTGGGTTGGAAGGGACTTCAAGGACCACCCAGCTCCAATCCCTTGTCACGGGCAGCGCTACCACCCACCAGTTCATGTTGCACAGATCCTCATCTAACTGGCCTTGAATGCCTCCGGGCAACCCGTGCCTGTGCCTCATTACCCTCTAAAGAATTTCCTCAAAACATCTCATTGAAACCTCCCCTCCTTCAGATTAAAATGTTTCCTTCTTGTCCTATAACTGTCAAAAAACTTGAGAAGTTTGTCTCTCTTTTGTTGTAAACTCCCTTTGAGTACTGAAATGCCACAATGAGGTCTCCCCTCAGCCTTCTCCTCTCCAGGCTGAACAAGCCCAGCTCCTTCAGCCTTTTTTCACAGGAGACGTGCTCCAGCTCTCCAGTCATCTTCCCAGCCTTCCTCTGGACCTGCTCCAACAGTTCTGCATCTTTCTTCTGCTGAGGCGCACAGACCTGGATGCAGTACTGCAAGTAGGGCCTCACAAGGGGAGAGCTGAGGGGAAAAATCATCTTCGTCTCCCTGATGACCACATCTCTTTTGGTGCAGCCCATGGTTCTTTTGGCCTACCAGGCTGCAAATGCACACTTCTAGACCATGTTCAGCTTTTTGTCCTACAGTATCCCCAAGTCCGTCTACATAGGGCTGCTCTTTGTTGGTTCTCCCAGTCTGTACACATACCTGGGATTTTCCTGACCTAAGTGCAGCACCTTGCACTTGGCCT